TCCAAAGGTGGTGTCAGAAGGAGCAGGTCATCGATTTGCTGAAGGAGGGCTTCTGGCTGGATCTGCTGGACACTTACCAGCCTGACATTGTGGTCTCGGACTGGTGAGTGAGGCTCTCCTCGTCCCTTGGGTGACCATCAGGAGGTGTGGACGATTTGGGGCATCGTCCGAAGCCTGGACAGGCCAGACACTTGTCTGGACATTGAACACCCACAGGAGGGTTTCGGTGCTTGAGGTTCTCCAAGGAAGAGGCCTTTTCAGCTTCCTTTTGTGACCAGGTCTTCTGCCCTTTGATTCTTGCAGGTGGAGTGGCTTCCAGGACTATGGCTGTGAATATGAGCTCTATGTTGCCCTCCTGGCAGCTAATAAAAAAAGGACGGTTGGTGTTTTTGAAGCCAAACGAAATCCCAGACTTCTAAGCATGGTCCCCTCATACCAAAAGGTGCTGTTGGCCACACCAGGCCTCTCTTGTCTGGTTGCTGGATTTCCCTGCCCCTGGGGGGGGATGGCCTGTTCTTTTTCTCTGTTTCTCTTTTTCACTTTCTCTTTCTCTTTCCCTCCTACGCACGTTTGACTAAATTCTGAGAATTAAAGTGCCCTTAAGAATAAAATAACCAAGAGAGAAGAATCTAGAATTTGTATCTAGGGGTTGCACAAATAGTTGGAAATTTTCATTTAAAAAATCTTTAGCTATATTAGCCTAGAATGAATTACAATGCATTAAACTACAGGTAGTCCAATTGAAGTGACAACATTGCTGAAAATGACTTACGACCATTTTTCACACTTATCATAGTTGCAGCATCCTCACAGTCAAGTAATCCACATTGAGGCATTTGGTAACTAGTACATAATTTGACAGTTTTTGCTCTGGTCCAGGGTTACGCAATAACCAGCAAACTCAGTGGGGGATTTGCTTAATGACTGCATGACTCACTTGGGAAGAAAAATTTGGGGCTCAGTTGCGGTCGTACCTTGAGGACTAGCTACACCCTAAAGGTGCTCAGAATTTGAAACTCCATGTTTTTGGGTGGGGGGCCAGGAGTGTTTTAAGGGGATCTCAAGTTCTCAGGCTACCCCAATTTTCAGACAGGCAGCACCCAGAAGTCCAAGTAGCTGGATGAGATCGTGTGAAATACACTTTTCTAAACATAATAAATAATAATAATAATAATAGTACTTTGACTTATATTCTGCTTCTGTGCTTTACATCCCTCTCTAAGCTGGCTACAGAGTCAGCACTTTGCCCCCCCCCAAAATCTGGCTCCTCATTTTACCAAACTCGGAAGGGTGGAGGGCCGAGTCAAGTTTGCACCCTGCCAAGTTCAAGCCGCTCGCAGTGGGCAGAGTTCGCCTGCAGTACTGCATTCTAACCAGTGCGCCACCACAGCTCCCGGAATACATGATAATAAAATTGTAAATAGTACAATTTTCTAAATAACGGCAACAAATCAATCATAAATAAATGCACGAAGAAGCTTCAGTTCCTTAAAACCCTTTTCCAGAGTCTAAAAAAATGGCTGAGCCTCTCTTGCTTCCATTTCTGTCTCTCCAGGTAACCCACACATTCAGACAATATGGCCCTGGAGTCCGATACATCCTCTTTCGGCACAGAGGGAAGGACACGCAGTTCTGGAAAGGACATTACGGTGCCCGGGTGACAAACTCTTCCATGGTAATCCAGTTTTCCTCGGAGTCTGCAGAATCCCCGGAGCCTGGACTCTCTTCCGCCCCAACTTCCCAGCTCCCCAGCCCCGTTTTGCCTCCGAAATCATATTTCTGAACTGGCGAAAAATGAGGATCCTGTCTTTAACCTTAAAACACAGGAAGTCCTTGAGTTGCAACTGTTTAGTGACTGAACGGCACTGAAAAAGATGACCTCAGACCAATCTTCACAATGATGGCCATTACAGGCTCCCCATGGTCAACAGATCAAAATTCCAATGCTCAGCAAATGGTTCATATTTGTCTCAGGATTAAGCGGTCATCTTTTGTGACCATCTGACCAACAAAGAGAATAGGAAAGCCAGATCCACTTAACAACGGTGTTACTCATTGAACAACCGGAGGGATTCACTTAATATGCCAAGAAACGTCATATAATCGGGTAAAACTCACTTAACACAATTCTCACTTAACAACGTAAAGTTTGGGCTGAGTTGGGGGTCTTAAGTGGGGGAACTACCTTTACGCCACGGGTGTCAATCCTGATTGTGTCAAGTGACCACACATTTTTTTTTTGACACCCACCTTGGGGTGGGTGTGGCCTGAGCGTGACGCAGTTTGACACCCCTGCTTCAAGCCATTCTTGGAAAGGTTTCAATCCTTCCGTCAGGAATGCAATAGACTTTATATCAGTGTTTCTCAACCTTGGCCACTTGAAGATGTCTGGACTTCAACTCCCAGAATTCCCCAGCAGTGGTTAGGACAGTGTTTCTCAGTGTTTCGCATTCGCTGGCTGGGGAATTCTGGGAGTTGAAGTCCGGACATCTTCAAGTGGCCAAGGTTGAGAAACACTGCTTTATATATTGTGCTGGCTGGGGAATCCTGGGAGTTGAAGTCCACAAGTCTTAACGTTGCCTGGTTCCACTTCCTCTCAGTGGTGTTGCCCATACTTATCAAAGCAAGAAGGACTAATACATCAGTGAGTTTTTATTTCAAGCAGGGGGGGGGGAATGTGCCCCTCCCTCCACCCCATCCAGGATTAAATGGAGAAAACTTGAGAAAACTTTTATTCCGAAAAATGGTACCATATATGCTTGCCAATGAGTGGAGCATTTTAAGTGCTGGAGGAGTACCCTTCCCCAATTGCTTTGGCTGGTCCATGAGTCTATACGGTAATATTTTTTTAAAAAAATACTTGCGTATCCTACATATACTTGTGGATAAGATGACCCTTGGATTTTTAATCAAAATAGCATGAAAAAATGGATAATCCCTGGATACACCAATTGTGAAAATTAAGTGCAAATATTTTAAGGGTCAGCTTATCTGCAGGTGGGGGCATTTTTTACTTCGATTCTTGAGGGTCAGCTGATGCGCTGGTCTTAATGGCAACTATGGATGGTGTATGCACTATTTAACAATGTTGAGAAAAGGGTTGACCTGCTTAAAAGGCTTTCAAAGCTCCAGTGATTTCCCACAGGCACGCATATGCGCACGCACACCCTCTCAGGACCGCCATCCTGCTGTGCCAGCCATGCTTCACCAGATGCCAGTGTGCCATAAGTAATGGGGGGGGAGGGAGCTGCAGATGGGAGGTAGATGGGAGGCTGGGGTAAGGAGAATGGCCGTGCCATGAAACCTGCTGGGCATTCCAAAGTCAGGGAAGGGGGCGTGAGACCCCCCAGCCCGTCAAGCCCAGGGACTCTTATCAAAATTTGTTTGGATGTAATCAGACAGTTTAAGACAGTGTTTCTCAACCTTAGCAACTTGAAGATGTCCGGACTTCAACTCCCAGAATTCCCCAGCAGTGGTTAGGACAGTGTTTCTCAACCTTGGCAACTTGAAGATGTCCGGACTTCAACTCCCAGAGTTCCCCAGCCAGCATTCGCTGGCTGGGGAACTCTGGGAGTTGAAGTCCGGACATCTTCAAGTTGCCAAGGTTGAGAAACACTGGTTTAAGACAACCAGAAAGACGGTGGGGAGAAAGGAAAATTAACCATATGCTTTGGGTGCAAAACTTCAGATCCGGCTTTGCTTCTCTGTAACCACTTGGCTTTAGTAAAGTGCACTTTCCTTAACAACAGATTTGAGAGTCTTTCTTTTCTAACTGACCAAGTTAGGGGGGCTCACACACACACAGACACACAGCATTCCCCAATGTAGTTGTGCAAGGAATTGCACGAACGGCTGTCACCAGCTCTGCACTTAATGTCCATAGAGGGAAAGAAAAAACCCTGGGGGCCCATCACAGGGACTGTCAAAAATAGCCCTTTCCCAGAGGTCAAAGTTGAAGGCCAATCGGGGGATTCCAGCACCTCCATTGGTGGAGAGAAGTGTCCAACTAAGAAGAAGCCAGAGAGAGCCCACCCCCTCGTGACTCCCACCAGGATTCTTCTGCTCTGGATATCGGGAGGCCAAAATTGCATTTGGGTCCAGAGATTGAGGGTGGGGTTCAGGATGCTTTGGCCCCCATTGTGAGGTGGGGGCTGCCTTGGAGACCTTTTCTGCAGGGGCCTCTCAGGAGATCTTGAGGGGGCAGGAGGAGCTGGGCTGGGAGGACCCTCTGGGGCCACCAAAAACCAACAGGGCCCCAGCGAAAGAGCAGCCTCCGTGCTCCAAACTCGAGCCATCATGGATCCATCAGAAGAAGAAGACGACGGGGCCAACGATGAACAGCCAGAGCCGACTGTGTCTCTCAAAGCCTGTTTCAGCCAAGGTGGGTTTTTGGTGGGTCCTAGGGGTAGGAAGTGACCAGCGGAGCAGCCAGGAGGAGCCGTGAACCTTGTTGCCATTTCGATGCCCTTCTCCCTGAGGCCATCCTTGAACTTCCCAAACAGCGGGACAGAAGGGAACCCCTCTCCCCGCCTGGGAGCTCCTCTTTTCGTCCTGCCTCCCCCCCCCTTCCACACCCCCAGGCCTAGCAGCCCCCTGCCCCCACAGCGGGAGATGCTGAGGAATTTCCTACCAACAGAAGAAAAGGGGGAGCGAAGGTTCAGAGCTCCTCTTTCCTCCCCCAGGGAAGAAAGACATTCTTCTCCCCTCTTCTCCCTTCTCCGCTGCCCAGGTCTGAAGCATCTGCATCACCGGCCGGAACTCTGCGATGCCACTTTGGTCGCCGGAGGGAAGAGGTTCCCTTGCAACAGGTGTGTCTTGGCATCTGCCAGCTGGGCAGGGCTTGGGGCAGGATTCCAACGGCTAACCCCACCGTCTCTGTTCCCCACGCAGGGCCCTCTTGGCCTCCATCAGCCCCTACTTCCAGGCCGTCTTCACAAGCGGCTTCAAGGAGTCCCGGGATGGGGAGGTCCTCCTGGAAGACATGGACCCCTCCGTCCTCCAGAATCTCCTGGGCTACCTCTACTCGGGGGAGCTGGCTTTCAGTCCCGGAAGCGCCGAGGACCTCTTCATCGCGGCCAGCCGGCTCCAGCTCAGCCCAGCACTGACGCTCATCAGCAGGTAGCCCAGACCCTCCCGGGCTTCTCTGTTTTTTGGGGGGTGGGGGCTTCTCCTGCCAGGTTCTCCAGCGATCCTTCTTTCCATTCCTCCCCCCAACAGATTCCTGATGGAGAAGATTTCCCCGGAGAACTGCCTTCGCCTTTACATGCTGGGCCACGACCACAACCACCCCGCCCTCCTGCAGGGGGCGCTGCGCTACCTGGGTCTCCACTTTGGCCTCCTCTTCGAACACCAGGACTTCCTGCAGCTGGACCTGAGGGCCCTGACCTGCATCCTCTCCTCGGACCACCTGGCGGTGGCCTCAGAAATGGAGGTCTTCCGGGCCGCGCAGCGGTGGGTGGGAGCTGAGCCCAGCAAGCGCCTCCCGGTGCTGAAGACGCTGCTCGGGTGCGTTCGCTTCCCGCTCCTGTCCCAGGAGGAGGTTGCCCAGGTGCAGACGGAGGCAGAGCTGCCGGGTCAGCAGCTGGAGGTCCGGTGGCAGGACCTGGACGGAGCAGGGAGGCTGCAGGTGAGCGGGGGGCTCCGCCGGGGCATGTACCAGGAGAAGATCGTCTGCATCAAAGTGCCCCGTTTGAGGGACATCCTCTCGGTCAGCGAAGACATGGACTGCTACATGGAGTGCCTGAATCCCACCAGCGGGTCCAGGACGAAGCTGCCAGCCTTGCAACTGGTGGCCCTCCCCGGCTGCTCCGTGCTGGACCAGAGGCTCTACATCTCCGGAGGGAAACACGCTGATGGCTCCTATTCCTCTGCGCTGCACGAGTACAACTCTCTGGCTGACCGCTGGGCCCAGCTCCCCGCCATGTCAACGCCCCGCTCTGTCCACATGTTCTTAACCTGCAAGCAGAAGCTTTTCGCCCTGAGCGGCTGGAACGATGCCGGCCCCCTGGCCTCGGCCGAGTGCTTTGATGTGGCCCAGCAGCTGTGGGCCTCCATCGCCAGCCTGCCCATCGTCCTGCGCTTCTCCGCCTCCGCGGCGTACAAAAACAAGCTCTACTTAATAGGCGGCGACGCCGACTCCGACGATGTGGTCTACAAGGGCCTCCTCATCTACGACACCCACCTGGATACCTGGGCACAGGTGCCACTCGAGTTTAGCCTCCACGGGGCAGCCGCCGTCACCGTGGAGGCCGGGATCTGTGTCATCGGGGGCTTCTTCTCCAGGAAGGCCAACCAACCGCACCCCAACCGGAGGTTCAGCCAACTTCTTCCTTGCACCCCGAACTGTTTCCTCATGCAGGAGGAGGGCATCATAAGCAGGGAGGTGGCCATCCCTTCCCTGCCCGTGCCCCTTGCCTTTGCGGGCGCCACTTCCTTCCGAGGGAGGATTTACGTGATTGGCGGTGTCTGCACCTCCAGAACCCACGACGCCATCTACCACTGGCAACCCGGGGAAGCCGCCTGGACCCAGGACCCCGAGAACCTCACCGCCCAAGGGATGGTTGTGCGCAGGGTGCTCAAGTGTGTGACCCTCAAGGTGCCAATAGCCGAGCTGAGGGCCCTCGCGCAAGAGACCTCGGCAGGCCCGGTGGCTGTGGGGGTCACTGAGCCCCCGCTCCCCCTGGAGAAGGGCGGCAAGGAGCACCGCCCTCCTTCTCCTGACCTGGCACCAGGGAGACCCTCAACTGGTGGGGAGTTGTAGAAGCAGAAGACCGCCTCCCCCCGCCCCAGAAGAGCTATTTTCAAGTGAACTCATTAAAAATCCACGTGGCCCCTCCCTCCCGTTCTGTTTCCTGCCTACAAGGGCTGACAGGAGAGCTTCCTGCACAGGTCCAAGGCTCCTGGGCATCCTCCCCAGGGAAGAGAAGGACAGCCTTGGCAGAAGCTGGCTCTGCCCCGGGGGTGGGAGTTGGGGGTGGGAGGGACCTGCTAGGAACCTAGAACTGCTCTCCATTCCACGGGCAGGCAGGATCACAAAGGCAGCCTCTGGCAGTCAACCTTGAGGATCAAAAGCACCACCGGGACCCTGGAGAGCCAGCAGACGAGAGAACAGAGAATCCCGGCTCGGCTGGAGTTTAAGCCGCCTGCTTTGCAAGCAGGGAGAATCTGGGTTGCTGCAGCGGGGGAGGGGGAGGGGTCCGCTGAACCGCCATTGCGGAAGTGAAGAGCAGCAGCCTGGAATGGGAGCGGGACTCCTCAATCTTTGATGGCCATCAAATATTGATCCCCTCCACATCTGTTTCGGGGGCAGCCGGAGAGAAAGGGAAGCTCTTCCGTGCTGTCATGCCAACCGCGCCTGACTGTTGCCAGAGGGCAGAGAAATAAAAACAGGAGGGCATCACTCCCCCCTTGGAAAAGGGCTGCCCGATTGGTTAGTTTGTCCTGCCTGCAATTCCTCTTATGTCATTCCAATAAATCCCCTGGGAGCATCTGCACTTGTGATGAGGGCTGCCCTCACTGCCCTTCCCCTCGGCCGCTGCTCCCAAGATGCCAGCCAGGAACCTGGAGGGACCCTCTGGGGTTCAGGGTTCGATGCATTTCGTGCAGCAGGTCGATATCAGAAGTGCATCCAGGGGCCAAACCAGAGGAACGAGCAGACCCCTGCCTGGAGTAAGGCAAAATGGTTCTCAACCGTGGGCACTCTGCACATGCTCGGAAAGGCTTGAGCACCCCTGGATTGGCTTCAGAATTTTGCCTCGTGGGGTTTAGGCAGCAGTGCGGGGGGGGGATCAGATTGGGGAGCAGGGAGAGAATTGGAAGAGACTGAGAATGGAGGGAGGGAAGGAAGGAAGGAAGGAAGGAAGGAAGGAAGGAAGGAAGGAAGGAGGGAAGGAGACAAATGGTTTGGGTCGAGAACAGGAGCCAGCAAAGGCTGGAGTGAAACTTTGAGGAAAGGAGGAAGGGAAGAGAGGGGGAAGGAGCTGGGATGGAGGGGAGGAGGAGGAAGCCTGGGGCGCAGAGCGACGGAGCCCAGCCGGAGCCTGGAAGGGCCGAAGTTGCCAGTCAGTCTCGCGCGGCCAAGGTGGGGCTTGGCGGGGCGAGGACTCTGCAGATTTCGGCGGGGGCGGGAGGGAGGGGCGCCGGAGCGCAGGGAAGCGGCGAGAGGCTCGCGGGCTGAAGATGGGGAAGGGAAGCAGGAGGAGCTCCGCGGCTGGTGGGTGGGGCTCGGAAGGAGCCGAAGGTAGGGCTGCCCTGCGCCTGTGGGTCGGCGGGTGGGCGCTCGGCTGGTTGGACGGGGACGCGCCAGGAGGGGAGCGCAGCCGGGGGGTCTTGGCCGGAGCTCCGGCATCCCCGGCCAGCAGGATGCAGGAGAGAGGTGGGTTGCCATAGCAACGGGAGGCGGGCGGGCGGGCAGGGGACCGCGGAGGACGGACGGGCGCCGGGAGAGCAGCCCGGGGCGGACGGGGCCGGGGCGCGGGGGGCCGGCATGGGCGAGGGGATCCCCGCCTGCGGGCTCCTCTACGACACCTCCTTGCTGCTGCAGTTCTGCAACGGTGAGTGGAAGCGCCGCCGCAGCCCCGATTCCGCAGTCAGCCGCCCGGGGTCCCTGGGGAGGGAGAGGCCCCGCCCGGGCAGGAGAGCCCCCACCACCAGGCGCCCGGAGCCCGGCCGGCGAAGGGGGCCGGGGGCAGCCGGGGCAAAATTGGGCTGCTCAGCGCCCGGATAATCGCGGTCGGCCGTCCCGCCGCAGGCAGGTGGGGGGGGGGCGCTCCTGCCCGCTAGCCGAGCTCGGCGCCCGAAGGAGCAGCCCGAGCCTCGCCCTGCCGCCCCTCCTTCCGATCCCCTCGCTCGCAGGTTCTCGGAAAGGCCCAGAGGGGCAAGGCGGGGCGGAGGTCGACCCATCATAGCGGCCGCAACGGCCGTGCAGAATTCCCACTTGCCCCAGGGAAGATCCGCGGGCCGGGAGGGGGGGGCAGGAAGCGCCAGCTGACACCCCCCCCGCCCTCCCCGTGCCCACCTGCCTTCTCTGCATGCTCAGAGGGCGTTTGCTCTTCCCGCACGTGCTAAGCAGGCTTAGGATGGCGTCAGTCCCCAGGGATTATGGAGGGGCACTTGGGGACAATTCCAGCCCCCTCCTCACAGCCCTGGGAGGTAGGCCAGCCGGCAAAGGGGGCAGGCCCAGACCAGGGGATAATCCTAGCCCAGGAGAGCTGCCCTTCTGCCGTCACTTGGAGCCCCCCCCCCCCCCGCATCTCTTGCCAACAGCTGCCTCTTCCGCCGTCCATCCCAGGGCTGGTACTCTGCCTGGCTGCAGGACCAGCCTCTGATTGGATGTGGAGGCGGCATCAGGGAAGGGATGCTAGAGCAGGCGGAGGGAGGGGCCGGCAGTGCCAGGCGAGCGGCAGCAACAGGCAGGCGGGACGGGCACGGGGCCCACCACTGCGGAAGAGAGGGAGGAAGAGGGGAGCTGTGGCTGAAGGATGCTGCCTCCTGCCCTTGATTTGTGCTCCCCTTCAGGGGTAGAGTTGGCACATCTACAGGTGTGGAGAAGCCAGTCATGGGCAGCTCCAGGTGGGCCTCCTCCCTGCTGTGGAAGCGCAGGTGGGCCAAGCGCCACTCTGGGGCTGCTTCCGACACCAGAAAAGCACGTGGGCAGGGAAGCCCCCTTCCCACCCCATGGCCCCTGTTGTCCCGAGGGAGCCCATGCTGCCCTTCCCCTCACTTTGCCAACGCAGAGGCCATAGTCACCTGTGTTTGTGTGTGAGAGAGAGAGAGAGAGGGAGGGAGGGGGAGGGGGAGAGGGAGAGAGAGAGAGAGAGAGAGAGAGAGAGGGAGGGAGGGGGAGGGGGAGAGGGAGAGAGAGAGAGAGAGAGAGAGAGAGAGAGAGAGACCTGGCCATCGATCTGTGAACGACCTGACTGGGGCAGGCCTTCCACATGGCTGGACACAAAAAATGTGTCAATCTTCTTTCAGGGAAAGGCTGCTGCCAGCCCTTGGGAGGACAGCTGGGGAGGGGGACCCGTTGCCCCCCACCCCAACCCCAAGGGGGGCCTGTAGCTCTCACGGGGAGGGGGAAGTGGAGGAGGGGGGAGGGGCTCTCCCGGGGGCTCCTGCTCCTTCCGGATTTTGCTTCCCCAGATGACCACCTGTCCGGCCTCAGCGGCATGGAGGTGGACGACCGCATCTCCTACCTGGAGCAGCGCCTGCAGCTGCAGGAGGACGAGATCCAGGTGCTGAAGGCGGCCCTGGCGGACGTCCTGCGGCGCCTGAGCACCTGTGAGGAGAACGGGCTCAGCCTCTCCAAGCGCAGACCCGACAAAGGTATCCGGAGCGGGGAGGGGCTGCGGGATGGGCCCCTGCAAGTCCCGGAGTGCCCAGAGGTCCGGGCCCCAAAGGGCAACCAGGGTTGGGGGGACTCAATGGGGAGCAGGAGACCAGGGAGGCAGGGGCCGCGGACCCTCAGTCCTGTCCTGTCTCTCCTGCAGTGTACCAGCTGCTGCGGGGGCTGCCCTCCAGGCCCACCCTGAGCAATGGGGCCGTCCCACACAGGAGAGGCTACGCCACCTCCCCCTCGTCCCCCAAGAGGGAACTCCTTCCTGGAAAAAGGTGAGGATGCACTGGTCCACCAGGGGGCGCTGCCCCTTTTAGGAAGCGGGGAGGGGAGCGGGAATCGCATCAGGATGAGGGTTGCTGCTGCGTTCTACATCCATCCTGCTCTTTTGCACCTGGATCAGAAAGGGATTTCTAGTATCAGGCAGAAACGTGAGGTCTATGTCAGCAGTCTTGGCTCCTCTTAGGGCTGTCTGCCTAAGGGGGAACTGATAAAAGTCTTTCAATGGTTTTTTTTTTGGTGGGGGGAAGCATTCGGAAGGGTCTAAATCCCCCCCCCCCAAGAATTGACATGCACGGAAATACAATCCATGCGAACTCAGGACTTCCTGCATTCCTTGCTGATGAAAAATAAGGCGACGTTGTTGAGTTGCAGGTTGCCAAATGCAATATTGCTGCCCTCAATATGCACAAATGTTCTAATCCAGTGTTTCTCAACCTTGGCCACTTGAAGATGTCCGGACTTCAACTCCCAAAGTTCCCCAGCCAGCATTTGCTGGCTGGGGGGTTCTGGGCGATGAGGGCCGGACATC